AGCTATACAGCAGTTAAAAATTGGGGGTCACCGGCAATATTCGGAAAATAAAGAATAAAAACCTGCTTAAAATAGCAAAAAATACCATATTTGGCGAGGCTACTGTTACTATGGAAACAATATTATGTTCAAGAATATTGCAAATTGTTTCTACCAAATACTTAATTTATACTTGGGAATGCTTAAAATTAATAGATGGAGTAATACAATTTATAAATATATATAATAATAATAAGGTATTTATACTACGGAACTGTATGGAGCCACCTTAAGCGTTCACTTCTATGGACACGGCGTCAAATTGTGCAATAAAGATTAAGGGACATGCATGTATAGGGCTCAAAAGGTTTGGTGTCCTCCTCAAAAGTTATGTATAGTAGTTCAATTTACACCCTTGTATGAATCATACATGGTTATACCATGATAGCATTGCCTTGTTCAGTTTTTGTGTTTTCTCGTGTTGGGTAGGCTACAATGTTACTTTTCGGATTCACGGGCAGATTTCTGCAAATGCACACCCCTGTCCTGCGACATTGTGACCTAAATAGTAATGCCCTGTTGCAGTAATGACTAATGGTACGCAGAAACAAATATGTAAGTACTAATATATGATACAGTATAGTTGCATGCCCTTGACACCTTTAAGACTTCCTCTGAAACTACTGCTGTAATACATTGATTTTGATCACCAAATCTTTCAATCAGCCGACCATATAAAATAACCATACAGTGTCTGCAGTACATCCTCTTCTTTTGTATAATATATATCATCATAAGGTACAAGTGCACTTTATGTATGACGTATATCATCATACAGACACATTGACCCTCGTCCCCCCAACTCCCCAACCCTAACCCCTCCAATCGGAGGCATCTAACCCCTAGCTCACCCTGTGGTGGAATGAAAATTAATATCAGCAACATATCATTTCGACTTTCTGCCTTTCACATTTCTGCTTTCCATCCCGTTCTGGGCCTCTGGCAAAGTGGATAAATAGAACATGTTTCCATGCAATTAGGTTTTCGCCAATCAAATTGACAAACTTAATTAATTTTCGCCAATGCATGAAATTTCACCCAAACATGAAACGCTTTTCATAATTTCTTTTACACCAATCTCATCATCTACAAATTCTGACAATTAACGTTACACATTTATAGTCAGTATATTTTCACAATTATAGAGGTATCAAATATGGAAACCTAGAAATAATCATCTTGATACAATCCGAGAAACACAGTCAGCTCCAAGTATGATACGAAAAAAAGGGCAACAATCTTGGTCAACTACATATGACGTTTCATTTGCTGGCAAAAACTTTGGTAAGATCGAAAGCAAATACTGTAATGAATTTAAGTTTTACTGTACTTGTTGCACTGAACTTAAGTCTTAACTAACTAAATCTAGTCAATGATTCCGATGTAATCTTGCAAAGTTGCATGGCCTTAATTCAGGACACATTTTGTTTAATGAGTCTTTTCTTGCTTTGGTACAAATTAGTAATTAATTAGTAATTATTATTAGTAATTAATCACGACACTTACAGGTAGGTATATAAAAGAGTGTGTGAATTGAACAAGTTACATATTATTAGCACTGAATAGATGAAGATCCGGGCTTACGGATCGAAAGCTTTGCAGTAATAAATTTACACGTGGTGTTTCCACAAACAAAAGTATTATAAATTAGTAAGGGTTAATCAAAAGAACACGAGACTCAGTTCAGTCGTCAGTTGTGCGCATTCTATATTCTTATATTGCGTTTTATGAGTTGTGCATATTTTTTAATTAGCATAAACCGAATCTGCTCGGTTTCTCTTGTTCTTATCGGGGAATATATTCAATATTCCCCTCTAATCAATCTCCCTCTAATAATCCCCTCTCATATTCACCTGCAATGTCTTTGCAGCACAAAAAATGAGAAAAAACAACATCACTAAGGCAATATGGCATTAAGAATTATTTCTATTCTGACTCATTAACGCGACCTCGCAATGTGAAAAATAAGTATACGTTATTTTGAGGACCTTGGGGATATGTGTTTATTCACCTCGGGCGCGTGCAGCCTTGGTGAATAAATCACATCTCCCCTCGTTGCCTCAAAATAACCAATACATATCGATCCTGTGCTGGGGCGCGACAATATTCTCTTAGTACGTTTAACCTTATACCACCTTTTATGTGGTTGTGTGTAAACATGTAATTCATGCAACTGAATTACCATTTTTCATTGACATTTTTAGATAATCTACCAAAAATTACACCAGGATACGCAATTAAAAAAGGACAATGTAATGGATGGAATAATGGTAATACTGATAAGATATTCAATTTATTTATTTGCAAAGCTAGAATTCCCAATGCAAAACGGTCATCTTTATGATAGCCTAGCGCGTTGATGTATACCTTAAGGCTAATTTCCACTCCGGAAAATAAGCAGCGGATCGGACTGGATCGGAACAAAACAAAATCGGCGCATGCGCTATCAGTAGGAATTTTTGGTTCCGATTGATCTGGCGACGTTGCTGGCCGGATAATAAAAAGTTGAAATATTTTCAATTTTTGTTGGTCCGGTCCCACGGATTCAATCTGGCGACCAATCAAAATGCCGTATTATCTCACATAAATTAAAATTAATACCTCTATAAAATTTACAAAATGGAGGATGTGGGACTGGAACGAGCTCCAATTTTTCCGTTTCCGATCCGATCATTCCACTTGTCCTTTTACTGGAAATCGCTTGTTGGATCGGACCGGATTGGCGGAGAAACCTTTGATCGGTCCGATCCGCTGCTTATTTTCCGGAGTGGAAATTAGCCTATACCGGTATATAATTTATGGTTGCGGAATATTTACAGGAATGAGAAAACCGGAGTTGGACTAATTGCTAACTGCAGACTTTATGCATGCTCATGCATTATTATGTGTTATATTCATTTGAACAAACTTAGATCGTATTCTTACGCTCACCGCAACATGAGGTGAGCCCTACATTTTCCGACTGGTATATTCTTCTTGCGCGGAATCTAACGTTGTTGATACTAGTCGATTAAATGTTCTTCGGCGCGGTTTACACCTACAAAGCCAATAAAACTGCCAATTGCCTATAAAGCAAAGTTTTGCATGCAAAAAGCTTTCCAAAATGAATAAACATTGTGTGGTTTCAGATCATGCACATAAACAAATTCTTTAGTTAATGTCATATTTATTTATTTTGAAGCACCTAGTACGAGAAATCCTCCTTTATACATGATGAGCATGTATCGACATGACTATATTGGGGACAGAGGACGTCCCAGTACCATGGAAAGGTAATTATTGTATGAAAAAATATACACGTATACGATGAATGTGTTATTTTTATTTGATTATGATATATAATCAGTTCATTCTCCCTGTAGACCTTGGGACAGATCTTTCCAGAACTTAAACATGTGAATCAGTTGGAATTGAAACCTATCAGTTTGTATGGGAAGGAATATATAATGACAGCACAAAAGAGCGGCTGCCATAGGCCGGGAGACTAGTTGTAGTGTGGTACTCGACTGATTGAACTGACTTACAAAAACGTCTGCATGTTGACTTTAAAACGGTTGTTATGGTTTTAACATTAATGATTGCGCGAACTATATATCCGATCTCAAAAATCGTCCGCTGTAGATCTGGTAACTTAAAAAGTATAAACTTTGTCTCGAAAACGTTTCCACTTTTTCTTTCGCTATAATATTAATTTAAATTATATGATCAATGAAACATATCAGACGCTCTATATAGTTTTCATACGCTCTATTTCGATTTTCTTCCTGTTTCCCCAACTCTTTTACATGGAAGAATAATTAGGTATAAAGGTTAAAACAACTTGAGGTTGCATGAACATTACTCATCACATCACATCACATCACATCACATCACATTACATTACATTACATTACTATAATGAACTGTAATGATATAGGGTGGTTTATAAGCTCAAAAATTAAATACTCCCTGCTTTGTAGTCAGTTGAACCATTGTTAATCGATCTGACGCGGGACTAATTTCTATATAAGGCTAAGTCGTTTTATATTAACTCTCAATTAGAATTTTCATGTACAATTTACGCAGTTTTAATATGCTCCTACGATTACAATGCATTCTGAACTCCCAGCCAGAGGTAATGAAGTTTGAGTGTTTATAACAAAAGGGTGATTTCTAAAGGGTTACTTTTTTATACACCCTGTATATATCATGCAGATAACATGCAGGAAAAGATAAACCCCGCCCTTTATTTATAGTAAGTCACGTTAATTTGGAAGCTTTATAGTTTGAAACCTGTGGTGTGGCTATATATATATGAAACTAAATCATGGAAGGTTACAGTCGTGCCAATAGAAGCGTTCCGACGAATGTTGTCCAACTTTTCCTAACTTCGAGGAGTTCCTCTGAACAATTCCTCAACAATTTGATAAGTTACTTTAAAATTTCCGCCTAACTTTCTGTTTCATTGACCAATCAGATTGCTCAAAAATAAAATATAAAATTTGATTGGTCAATGAAACAGGAAGTTAGGAACTTTTTAAAGAAATTTTCAAAATTTTAAGAAATTGTTCAGAGGTGTTCCTTCAAGTTAGGAAATGAACTGATCAACATTTTTCGGAACGCTTCTATTGGCACGACTGTAAAATATAGTGTAGGTTGTGAGTTGAACTATATAGTCAATCAAACATTGTCTTGAAAACTCGGAAAATTTCAAAGCTTTTATAAGGAAAACAAGAATAATTATTAATATTTCAACAGCACGGAGGGTTGAGTGAAGGTAATGCCATTGCGGCTGATAATTTGATAACAACAATTAAGGTTTTCATTATATATATTATCTATTACTTATTATTATTTATTACGTGTACATCTCTGTTTTAAAAGTAATAATTAATCAGTATGATTATACCATATCAATATAAGTAACAAGTAATTATCAATAATGGCAGTTAAAGTTATAATAGTTTGTAATTCAACTGGTGATTGGATAAATTGCAGCAGTTGAAACACCTAGCTGAGAGTGGAAGAATTAGAATATACACATATGAGATTAAGTATTCAACTGTTTAAATCATCATTTGACTAGGCAAAAAGTTGCTAAAAAAATTAGTTTCCGCACCGTTGACCCAAGTTAAATAATTATTGAACAGTTCAATACTTTAACATGTACAGTATGCATGCATATATTTTATGCTTCCAGTATCAGCTGTAAATTACATGTTATCATTCATCTGCAATCTATCCCGACGCAGAACGCATCATTTGGTGTACAGTCGAGAATTTGAGTTGTTTTTTTGTATATCACACGACTGCTCACAACACTACATATAATTTTCTTACATGCATGCATGAAGATATCGAATCCAGTGAATTTTATAGGGAAGATGTTTGGTCCCAAAATTTAACAATAATTTAAAAGTTAATATTATTAATTATTATACTTTCACATTCTATTCAGTATTGTTTGACGTATCAATGATGATCATGATCCATGAAAAAAAAACACGATATATACACTTGTCAATTTGACCAATTATATTGCCTCGCTTTGGTCACATGATCACTCGGGGAAAACTGACATTTTAGCGGTTATATTAAAATATTAAATTTTTATATTCTGGATATATTAAATTTAAGTATTCTGTCACGACGTTTTTAAATATCCAGTTACTAAAGTTTTACATAATAGCACAGTTATTAAGAGAATAGATGGTTTGGAAACTCATTAGCTATAGAATAACAATATAACTCATTATCGATGTTAGTCAACGTTTATTCATAAATATGTTCCTTCACCGTCACGTGTGTATTGTATTTTTGCCAAATCCGCCAATAGCAATTTCCAATTTATCCTATTGTTCGAGTCACGGATAGGCAACTTTCCTAAAACATTGCTAATGGTTAGTTGGGCAAAAATACAATACGCTCGTGACGGTGAAGGACTAGATTTATGAATAAACGTTGACTAACATAGATAATGAGTTATAGGCCTACTGTTATTCTAATGAGTTTCCAAACCATCTCGTCTATTAACTATGATAATAGCTATATTGTATCATGCTGATGTATTTCCAAATTTCGTGCAATCCTTTCACACACTGGAAAATGAAACGAAAGAGATCCATTCTTGCACTTCGTTAGTGAGAGTACAACGTGTCAGTTTTTTGTTGGTGGGCATCCAAAGTAACCATCACAGCAATAATTACGTTTTAGAGAAGTAAAACCTGTATCAAATGGAAAGCATTTGTATCCAACATTCAAATTCTTCGTTTTAGGGTTTGGAAGTGTGCGATAACCATATCCATTGGCACTGCATACGTTTTTTTCTTTCGAAGTTTCAGGTTGTCTTCTTAAACTGGCCATTCTTTTGAAAAATGAGAGCACTGGTGGTGATTTTCTTCTCGCCCATGGTAAACGGCTGTGTTGCTTTCCATTCTTGCTGCCGCTGCTGCTGTTTAGTAGAGCTATTTATAAATAACCAAGAAAGATATGTTATAAACGAAGTCTTTACTCCATTGAAGTATAGTAGAAATTTAATACTTATATTAGGTTTCTGGTAGGCCCCTAGCCATATTATTAATTATTTATTAAAAATTATAAATATGTTATGATATAAGGGCATTACTGATTGACTACTGGATAACACTTATATTGGGTGGAAACAGGGCCGCCGAGAGGTAATTGGCGGGGGCCTGGGGCAAATTTTTTTTAGGGGGCCCTATCAAAAAAATTTTCGGGAAAAATTTTTTTCCGGAGAACAACTCCCCCCCTACTTAGCCGCTGAAACAGATATCTTGTCCTTTGCGCGGAAATATTTAACACACAAAAAAGACTGGGGCCCAACAAAAAATTTTCAGGGGCTCCCAGCACCTCGGGGCCCGGGGCAATTCCCCCCCCCTCCCCGCCTGCCCCCTCTCTGCGGCCCTGCGTGGAAATATCACGATTGATTGATTTTGGTATCAACAGCTATACGTGACAAATCAGCCAATCATATATTTAGCGTAGATCAACAGACTGCATGTACAGTCAATATATAGTTAATATATACACTATTTTAAACAATGAATAAAGCAAAATAATTTATTTAATCAAATGCACTATACGAAAATGTATTAATTCAACACAAAATTATCTACGCTGGTCACGTGATCTGCTAAAATCTAGCAGATTTTTAATTAGCAATCCAAGATGAGGTCAATAAATATTTGATATTTGGATGATTTTTATAGTTTGATTTATAATTTGCATTTTGTATGATTGTCGTAAAGCAATGCAAGATAGTTAATTAAAAATCTGCTAGATTTTAGCAGATCACGTGACCAGCGTCTCCCGGGGTCTTTTCTCCTGGGTGCGGAGGTTGACTAGTGAATAGCGCTCTATGTTTATCCGTAAACCTTAAAACATAGACATGCAGGACTACATTTTATCATTCAATTGATTTAGCGAATTTTATACATATATATATACATATATATTTTATACATATATATATATACATATATAGGCGAATGTCAATAAGTATATTGAGTGTCGAATCGTACGAATAGAGTGCTCGATACGAAAGTAGAGCAAATAAAAGACAAACTTGAGTTACTTCGTTTAAAACATTTATTCACGACAAATTTGTTTCGTATGGCAAACTATAAGCTTGCCACACTCATCAGGTGAATGATAATATCGCTTATTTACATGATGTTATAACCTATAGGTAACTTGAGCTATTATACAAATGTTTGACGTCATTAGGAAAGCGGAAATATATGTAACCTGAGCTATTGGCTGCAGAGCAGGAATTTTTTCCTGTGCCTACATGCGGATATTAGTTCGTTTCTTGAGTTCAAAGAGCTTAATTTAGGATAGTAAATTATAATAAACTTTTCGTGCAGGCATAATTTACAGCGTTTTGTTTTGTTTGAGTAGGCCTTACATTCCAGCGGATAGAGTATTGTATGTTGGATTGTTTCAACTGCCAAATATATTTACTCAGTTCGGTTGAATGTTTATGTTCCGGGTTCCTGAACGAGCTTGTGTGGTTGTAATATCTCACTTTAAATGGACCCGCTGTATGTCCAACGTAGGTTTCTTTCTGTTGGTTGTCTCCTCTCGTTACTCTGGCCTGGTACACAACGCTTTCGGTTAAACATTTGCCAGGGAGGGGGCAGGAATCTTCCTGGCGGCAATTGCACTTCCTATCGGGATTTTTAGTAGCCTCGGGCTGCTTGCGATCGAGTGCGGTTCTGTTGTGTGCCGTGATGATATTGTGCACATTGGGCATACAGCTGTAGCTTAGCTTAAGGTTGTTCCTATTGAATAGCTTATGTAGAGGATGGATGGGTGGAAAGCATTCATCTATAGCCTGCAGGAATTTGTGACCAATGTCGGTGACAACGTTGGCGCTGTAGGGAGGATTAAACCATATCACATTTCTGTTTCTATTAGCCTACGTTTAATAGACTTTGGTGGCTGGGGATTGCAATTGAGGACGTAGTTAAAACCGCTCTTTCGCAGGGCTTCCTGATATGGAGGCGAAGCCGATTCGAGGGATTGCTTATCAGAGGATATGTTTGATAGCCTCTTGTTGATAGCGTCTGGTATGCTGCGTATTATTGGTGGCGGGTGGTTGCTGTTGTGGTTGATATATAGTGGTGTATTTCTGGGTTTCATATATGGCTTGTAAGATGACGATCTGAGATCAAGTGTAATGTCTAGGTAGTCAACGCATTTTTTGTTGGCTTCGATGGTTATTTTCAAGTTATTGTCACTGAAATCTTTGCAAATACTTTTCTTAATTATCTCGATTTCGCGTGGTGTTTTGTCAAAGGCTGCGAGACCGTCATCTCTGTACAGACCGATATCATTGCCGTACTCTGCCGCAGGGGCGGATCTAGGGGTCGTCAAATCAGTCGCGCGACTGAAGTAAAAATTGCCTACTTAAAAAAAAATTTACTCCAGCTATCTATAGTTGCCAGTAGATCGAGTTACTAAAATTTTGAATCGCACCGGTAGTCCAGATATACATTTCATGCTGCGGCAGAGCTTCGGCAAAGTAATGTTAGTCAGTCACGAACAGCGGTCTTACGCATGAAAGTTGACGGATTCGGGGGTCAAATCCGGCTATCTGATTGG